ATGAGACAGAATCACTGCACACACAAAGAAAGACGACATCAAAGAGGGTTTACTCTGGCTTATGAGCATAAAGGAGCCGTTTCACAGAGAACGTCTGATTTACTATGGTTCTAATGCTCTTTACAGATGGCTTCTGATTACATTATGTACCCAAAATATGATCCCAGCTTGCTAATCACCTGGAGTAGGACACATATCAGTAGAGTTTAAATAAGTATTCAGTTCCTTTTATAAAAGTGGCCTTATTATTTCCCTTTCCTGTAGTGTGTTTTATGTGTTTGTGAAAAGGCTCAAATCCCTGTGTTCCCTCCAGAGGAAACATTGCTGAAACGCCTCCATTGGACTCCTTTGTTTACTTCCCTGACAAAGGGACATCACTACGTAACACTCACGCTTCTATTGGCTAGCGCTCCAACACACCATACGTGATAGGCTAAGGGACGGGACATCTTTAAGCGGTTGACCAATCACAGCACTGGTTGCCTCTACTTGAAGTGGGACCAAGTCATTGTTTGTAAATCAAAAGAAAGTCTTGTTTCTATATTCCTGAGCATTGACCACATCATTTTGATTGTCCTTATGCACTCGGAGTAACAGTTATGAGTTATTTTAACAAATAATAAATGCTTTTGATGTGATTGTATGTTGCAGGTAAATAACAACTGAATTAGCTGTCACGTTTTTTTACGACATTATTATTGTATTATTTAGGAACTGAGTGGATGTTAAGTAAGAGTCAAGTCTAAGTTGCAAATCTAAATGAATCAGATTCATGACTTGGCAAAACATTGCAAATGAGAAGTGACATTACATCTCTTCCCTTTGTTAGTAATTGAATAAAAGAACAGATCATTGTGACGAGGAAATACAATAGGCCCTTTGACACAGAAAAAAAAACATCTTTAAAAGTAAATGTTAACACATAACAGATAGTCCGACATCATGTAGTAGATCTGGATTTCTCTGTCGAAGCAACTGATGACATCTCTCAGCTGCAAAAGGCTTTGTTCAGTGCAATTAAGGTGTGCTTGGCAACAATATAAAAATAGACATGAACCTAAGAGAGAGACTTCAAACCACAAACAAAACCTCACTTACAGATAATAACGTTATTATGTAATAAGCATAAATATATACATACATGTGTTTTTATGGTCTTTTAATTTGTGTGGGGTTTCTCTCTTCCCTATTATTTACGGTTTATGGGCTTTTTTGTAAGATTACCACTTCTCTTTTGGATCTTTACATGGGACATACCGATGAAACAATGACACCTGCTGGACAGAGATTGGAAATGCAGATAGTCTTCTGGGAACCGCCCAGACACTACTTCTCGTTTTCCATTGGTTTAAATCTTGAGAAAAGTGCTATCTGATTGGTCATATTATTTTCAGTTGGCCAATCAACGATTTTGTTTACAACCACACACATGAGGTCATGGTTCATCCACATTTGAAGTGACGCAACTCGCTTGCCAGGCAGCTAATGCTATGGATAACACACTCAGGAGGGAGCAAATTTCAATATATCACAAATACCACAGCTCGGAGTAAATGAAGTATACCCACATGTAACCAAGCGTCGTATTTTCTGCGACAATGCTGTGTTTGCGTTTAAATGCCGCGAGGTCATTGGAGTCTTTGAGAAAGGTTAGTAGCTAAGCTAATGGTAAAGAAGCTAACGGTATTTCTATTTCTAGCAGATATGACAGGCTGACTTTAACCCCTAACCTTTCCTTTTTTACACCACTTTGTATTTATATGCATAAAATACACCATATTATTTCTACCGTTTAATAATAGGTGGTGCCTTTAATTACGTTTAAATGTGTTCCAAGCTCTGCAGTTATTCACTACCATTCAATGTTTACACCTTGTGCTTTCATTATTACATTACTCAAATTAAATCATCAGTGCATGATATTAAGGACAGAGAACACACAGTAAAGGGGAACATATTAGATGAATATATTCACATTGCTAAGTTTCATATATTTAACATAGATGTTGTTTCTATTGGTAGCAGTATGCATTACATTTAAGTGTACCTGGGCCAGAGACATTCTCTAAACAGCTGTGATTTTTCCAGTTTTGACATGGAAACCTAAACTGAACAATAAGAGACACTTTCACAATGCCGCTGTCACTTGAGAGTCTTCCCCCCGTTTCTCTTAAACATAAAGTAAGAAATCCAACCGAAGATATCACAGCTGTGCCTTTTATCAAACTGCCTCTTTCCTTGTTATCTCAGTGTCATTCCATTTGCACATAGATATTTACACATCATAGACAAAGAGTTCCTTTATTCTTTTCCCTATTTCATGTCTTCTTATAAATAGAATACATTAACTTTAGATTTGAGGTTTTTGACAATAAAATGTTGAGAAAAAATTGTGAAAATTGTCGATTCCAGTTCTTCAAAATCCAAGAAGATGTCTCTAATTGTCTTGTTTCCTCACTCCAAAACCCAAAGGAATTGACTTTAATATGATACAATTTTTTTTCTACATTTGATAAGCTAAAACAGCATGTTCTGCTCTTTTAAAAAAATATATAAAAACAACTTTAATGTTTAATTAAGGTTTATCAAAATCTCTGGCAATTTCCTTTCTGCCAGTCAACTAATTGATAACTCAACTAACCTCTCAGCTTTTCAGGAGATGTTGCACAATAATAAGATTGCCTTCCTTTCTTATGTCATCATTAAAATAAAATAGTTTGGAATAGAAAAATACTGACAGAGAGAAGAAATAATTGCATGGAATATCTTTTCAAAATGTGACTATAACTAATGTTACTCTACTGTGTTTCAGCTGTGCTTCCTCTCCCTGATGCACATAAGACATCCGCCCTGTCAGTGCCCTTTGCAGCGGTGGAGGATACAACACAGTGGTGCCGCTCGCTGCCTCTCTACCGGACCACCTGCTCCCCCCACACTGACTGACCCCTCCTCTGAGTGCACTGAAGCAAAGCCCAGCAACAGCACACCTGCCTGGACCCCTGACCAGGGCCCCCCGCCGGCCCCCGCCCACTGCTGCATGAGCGGCTGCCATAACTGTGTGTGGATCGAACACGCCGAGCAGCTGCTGGCGTATTACCACGACGGAGGAGACCTGGCACTCGCAGCCATTGAGGAAAACGTCCTTGATGAAAACCTTAAAACCTATCTGAAGATGGAGATAAGGCTTTTGAAAAAGACGTGAAGGATTTGATCACAGTGTCGACACGAATGAGCGTTGTGAGACTCATACAAAGAATCTTGTAAACTTTACGCACACTCATCAAATCTACCGGGTTCAAAGGTAGAAGCTGTGGACTTCAGGAATCCACCTGTCCTTCCCGACAAAAATCAGTGTGTCTCCTCTAAACATGCTTGCCTATCTTTGGGGAGTTGTTTCCGAACCTGTTCGTTATTTGATTTTTTTTTTTTCAGTGAGTACAAAGCAATTATTACTACTAGGAATGCCACTAGTCAAATCACAATTGTTGCTTAATGTTGTTGTAACAACGTAACTAACGAGCCAGGAAGGATTGTCCTCACATTATTTTGTACAGAGCTTGAAGTGGTGGGTTTTTGAAATTGTGTGTTAAAAGATCATCGGAATGTTTCTGGCCTCATTCAAAGATGTATTTGGTTTAATATTACCTTTCATTTTTCATTTGTACAGCTTGATTCAGTCAACTTTATAGTGAATTTATTCATTGTTCCTTTCATCATAAAGCACATATGCACATTATTTATGATTAGTTTGAACTGGAGTGTTTACATTATAATTGTATTGTATTGATCATTTGCTTCATTATATTTAAGAGTTTATTTTGATTTTGAAATGTATTTTTAACAATTGTTTGTTAAATAAATGTTTGTTTTTGTGAGCTGACATGAAGATTGTTTCGTTTTCTTTTGAATGCTTTAGTCACTGACTGACCGTAGTACACACACTGTTATTGCAATTCATTTGATCAGGTTTTATAGTTTTTCTTTAAAAGTTACTCAAACCAATTACTTGATTTTCAAAATAGCAATTGAAACAATTAATCAATTATTTGTGGCTCTATGTACCCAATAATGATGTTTTCAAACTTTTCATACATACATGACTTGGAATGAGCTGAATAAAGGAGGCTTCTTGAAGAGCACAATGAATACCCTGATGGACCACATGGGAAAAGAAATGCTCAGATGGAGTGACGTGTTTCTGTGAGCCGCGGTGGAAACACCCGCTGTCTGCAGCTGTCAGTCTCTGGGTTTGTGAGGGGATGCTGACCCTGATCTGCATGACCTAGTCAGCAGGAGTCTGGTAACGGCCCTCTGTAAGTCCTTATTACACAGGAGGAGAAGCACAGCACACACATCTGATCATGTACAGAACACTGCCCAATGGCTGGGGACTGAGCTGTCTTCAATGACAGAGCTTCTCTTCGTTGGGAATCCATCTTCAGCATTTCTTGGAGCTGAATTATCCACAGAGGTGCCCTGCTCTCTTAGAGGAATGGACCTGGTATTTAAAATGAGTTAAAGCACTAATTAAAACAGGGTCATGTTTGAAAATGTTTGTTTCTCTGAACTTTTTCTGCTGCTGCTGCTGCTGCTAATGTTAGCTGTGCATCAGCCAATCGGCTCACTGCAAGTTGGACCCAGATACTTCTCCACAAAAACACACCTGTTTGCAATCTTGGCTCCTAATCGGTAGCACGAGGTCTCCATTGATATCAGGACAGCAGAAAGGCCAGACACCTTCTGTCGCAAACTGAAACCCACCTGTTTGGCTTGTACCGAGGCCATTCAATCAAATTAAATATCATTCAATTAAAATTAAAATAGCGCCTAAAGAGTTTGGCCATTTGAAGGTAATTCACTATAGTTAGGGTTATTTGTAAAGAACATATCTGCACTTTTCTTTTTGTTCTGAGTATCTTTACGGCTTGTTGCACTTATTGTAAGTCACTTTGGTCAAACATCAGCTAAATCAAATGTAATCAGACTTTTAATGACAAAAATCTCTTTCTGAAAAACATACTAACATCAGATGTTGATCCCATGGCCATTGCAGAATGAAATGACATGTTAATGAAATATATAGAGCTCCGGCTCTTAATACTATTTTCCATCAGATTGAACCATTTTTTATGCAATGCAAAATGAAGGATGTTTTCTTCTAAATAACACTTTTGTGCATACAAAAGAATTAGTTTTGACATATGTACATCCTCACCGTCACCTGATTTCACCCAAAGCCCAAACATGTGAAGTGTTGACATCGAGCAGGGATTCAGGGCATTCATAATCTTCTGTGGGCTCAGCATATAAGAGGGGCCCTAAGCTCCCACTGGCCCTCACAGCAAGCCCAGCATAGAGTTCCTCAACACAGTGCTGTGCTCAGATCACCTCTCCCATCAGCCGGTGAGTAAACACACTATTTCCTCCCCATCAAAAACACAAATATATTGGAATGTATAGAGATTGTAGAAGCTGGGGGAGTTAAAGAGTAATGATTGATGTTGTTATTCTTGTTAGTCAATGGTTATTGTTGATATTGCAATCTTTGTTTTACCTGAAATGATCTCACTGTAACTGAAAAGATGGAAATGTGACATAATCATAATATATTGAGGAAACAGATTCTTGTTTACTTTGTTTATCAAGCATTTTGTACAGAAGATGTATCAGTCAGGGGTGCTGTAGGGAGGGTATTACTGTAGCTTGCCAAATTATAAGAGCCAAGTCATGTTTGAAACCTTTTGATACTGACGTACATATGAGGATACATTTTCTTTCTTACTTTGAGAAAGATACTTTTAACAATCACACATTTTTTTCCTTCAACGGAAGACAATATTCTGTAATGTCAAATAGTGTCTAAACAAGCAGCTGTACCAAAACACGGGATGGATATCAGTTTCTGAGAAAAGTCATACACATTTGAGACTAAATCCAATGGCTGCGATCGTACTTGACAGTTGCTTTGATACTGCTGCAGTCATAGTACTGAGGGTTCCTGTCAAAGTATTTTCAACATACAGTACAATATGCCTGAAAGATGTTGTACATTTTTCCAATTGGTCACAGCATTGGTTACAGTCTTCAAACTGATGCAAAGCATTGATTCAAAGATTCAAAGATTACACAACTACGGTGTAGTTATGTAATGAATAAAAAACTTGGGTCACAGGTTCCTCAACAATGCAATTAAGGATTGTTAAGCATTGGACATCAAAATAATGTTTTATCTTCCAAACTAACCACATAAAATCTATAGACTACACATGCAGTCACTATGTTTTGATCTAAAACTACTGCACACTAAGATCCAGCCTTGTTGGAGAGGGTCAGTGTCATTGAGCAGATCACTGAGACCCTCAGAGCGTGCTCAGCATGTCTGCTGTGTTGTCCTTGCTCTAACGAGATTACATTTGGAAACAGAGAAGGGGGAGTACTTATTAACTTGAGCCAGGGATTATGGGAGATTGGATCATCCTCAGAGAACATGCTGCAAGGTGTATTCCATCTCACACATTCAATCAGTGGGAAACATGAGTAGACATCCTGCTTGCTGATCAGTAAGACGATTAATGTTGTCAGACTGAGGTGAGAGGCTACATGCTCATTCTAACAAGATTTTAATGATTAACTAATTGTATATATTGTAATATCAATGTAATATATTGTAGTACAATAAAGTAGTTTTACTTGGCATTATGACTCTATCAATATTTGTACACTTTATTATTTTAATTTTATCTTCAACAGAACATTTTACTTTAACGTAATACATGAATATTTTATTTGGAATTTTATTAGACATTTTACTCTAACTTCTTATTTTAAAATATATCATACATTTATTTTATTGTATTGTATCTTTTGTTGCATATTCTTACTTTCACTTTTTATATTTATACAATCATTTGTATTGCACCCGGGTGTTTGTAGTCAACAATGATCTACATAATAAATAGCTTATTTTTGTTTCCTTCTCAAATAAAGGAACTTAATTTACCCCTGTAGATAATTCAAGTATTCAGATACTGATATCATATTTCGTTGTTTGAACCTTTTTCTTTCTCCTTTCCAAAACAAAAAGATATCACTGTGACTACCATACTTCAGAAAGGTGTCTCTAAAGCCTGCACAGAGGTATCCTAACTTCTCAAAATGAATCTTGAGGTGCCCAAAGCTGAGATAAAGTCTGCCACTCGCGTCACCGGCGGCCCCTCTACCCCACGGAAAGGACCCCCCAAGTTCAAACAGAGGCAGACCCGTCAGTTCAAGAGCAAGCCTCCGAAGAAGGGAATCCAAGGGTAAGGATGCACGTTGTTTCGTCAGAGGCTTAGATATAATGGCCAGTTTTGGTGTGTAACTTATTTGTTCTTTGTAGATTTGGTGATGATATCCCTGGAATGGAGGGCTTAGGAACCGGTGAGATCACTTTGAAATACATTTTGTATGAGCTGTTATTATATGAAGAGGCTTACCGGTAAATAACCATATATTTTTTCAATCCTGCAGATATTACCGTCATTTGTCCCTGGGAGGCCTTCAATCACCTGGAGCTCAATGAGCTGGCCAAGTACGGTATCATCTGAGCCCCCACTGAGGATTACAGGCTGCATCGATACACTTCGTACTGCCGCCTCAGTCTTCATCTTCTAACTTCAAATGGAACTATTTAAAAAAAACTACAATAACGAACTGTAACAAACACAAACAACTACAAAAAAGAACTGTCCTCACGAGCATACATTGCTCAAGTTTAGCATCCATTACATTAAATGTCACTTGTTAGACGCTTTTATCCAAAGCAACTCACTGTGGGCAATCCCCACAGGAGCACTTTGGGGTGAAGTGTCTTGCCCAGGGACACAACAACATGCTGACTGCAGTGGGGTTTGAACCTGTGCTCCCCTGATCTCAACACCAACGCACTAGCCCACTGCACCACACGAATCCCTTTCTCTTCTCTTGCTTCTTGTCTCTTTTCTCCTCTCTTTCTCCTCTCCTCTTATCTTTTTCTCACAGATAAAACATTTACGAAAGAAAGGCAACCTGAAATGTAGTGACAACGAAGAGGTTGGATTCCCACTTCATATGATTTCTACGCCTCCTTCGCCATCTCAGAGGCTTGTCCATCAATGTCGAGAATGTAAGATACAAAACCTGAATTATATAAAGACTGAACCAGCTTGACATTTCTGATCGTAACCTTTTAAATGGGATAATTTGAATCAATTCTATCCTTTTGTCTCCTTGGTTTGACCGTCACAAAAACTTAAAATACCATTTTGTTTTCTTCCATCATAATATGTGTAAGTCTGACTGGTGCATTTAGAGAAGCTTTCTCATAAAAGAAAAAAACACACAGCAGCTTTTATGATTGTGTTACTGTTTACGTATATTGTATATCCCCTCTTATTTGTATGTCATTCGTGTATAATATGAATGTATATGAACATTTGTGTTTTATGTTCTTGTCATACTTCCACACAACACTGTTGTGTCCTGTGTGTTATATTTTTGTTTTTAATATATATAGCAATGTCTTCTTTCATCCATCATTTATCTAATTTTCTTTTCATTATAATTTAATCTCCATCACTGATCCTTCATTCTGTTCATGTTTAGACTCCGGAATATTACCAATCTGTTGTACATAAGATCAATGCATGCACACCTTGAGTTTCATTTCTTTTTTTTCTCTTTTACATTGTTTTTCAAATAAAGATAAGATATAAGGTAAGAAATACTTTCATGATCCCAAATTGGGAATTATTTTTCCATTACAGCAGCATGTCAAAACAAAGGCATTGCACATAATTTGAAATGTGAAGAGTATACAATAAACAAATGTAAAATAAGGAAGATATTAACAAATAGGTTGCTAGCTGGTAAAGGAAGATTTTATGTTTTTTTTCTTAAATAACTTGTGTTCAATGATTGTTCTGTAGTGGTAATGGATGTCATAGGGATTCAAAGGATGGATGTTTCAGTAAATGTTCAGATCTGAAGAGATGTATATAAAGCTTTGTAATTTTTACAGCATGAAGAAAAATTAAACAAGTAAAATTAAAATGGAGATTTATCTTTTCTCACCAAATTATTTATCAGATTATATTGTTTTTATCAGCCTTACCGTAACATACAATTAAAGTAGTGTTTTAACAAATACAACAATGTGCACAACTCATTTAAAAAATGCAAAATATATTAAAGGAAAGGGGTATTTAGACTTTGATAATATGCATATCATCTGTCTATGCAATTGATGAAACTTTGTTTATTAAAGATAATAAAGCAGTGTAATACGTTGAGCATTTCATACAGTGCACACTAAACTATCAGTTGCTTTATTAAAATCCCAGGGGCAATGCAGTACTGTGCTAGAAGACTGCTGTGAATCTTGGTTTGTGGTAATGATTCAACCTGATTCTATTGACACATATTCGAATCAGGGTCCATCAACAAGCGTTAGCCACACATTTGCAATTAATACAATGATGTGCAACTAATTGAAATGCAGGTGGGACTTTGTTGGTATGGTCCCCTGCAGTTGGTAACCAAACCGTTACCTGGGAATGCCTTGCATATATTTATAATATTTGACATGCTATTGAAGTTCTAATCTGCTTGGTTGCACAGCATCCTCTAAATTGTAGTTGAAGAACAATAAACAATTTGAAATAAAAAAAAGTGGAACGTTCCTTCTCAGTTTGAAAAAAAACGTGTTTCCTCCGTGGTCTCTTCGGTGTAGGACCGGTGGGAAACTGTCGGTCGCTAATGTCTGCAACACCCGGTGTTTGAGTTGTGGGATGGAGTTTCGTTGACAGACAGTAACAATACGTGACATTTGTATTTAGTGTCTCTGTCTTCATACACAGCGACATCGGGAGGACTCCCCAGTGCAACATGGCGGATACTATTGTAAGCATAACGGCATGTTTTATTAACGACTGTGAAGGGTAGACTTGGCTAACGTTAGCTAGCTTGTTAGCCGAAGTCCGGAGTGATGAGGCAGCAGAATTAGCTTGGTAGCTAACGTTCGCTGGCTATCATTAGCAATGGGTGAGTGGGGCCTGTTTAGCTAACCGGCTAATATTAGCTCATAGGCTCTCTGACGACATTTGAATAATAAAAGGCGTCATTGGATAAAAGGAAAGCTACATTTAGGAATACAACTGTATGGCATCCCATTTGCCAAACATTGGCCAGCATATAATTGGTGTATATAATGGAAGCCAAGATGTTGTTGATTCATTAAAAGTTGACTGCGAAAGACCCCTCCACACCGTGACAGCTTTAGTTAACGTTGTCTTGTTCATATTCGACATGTTTTTGTCGTTATACCAAAGCTATTTTATGAAAACTAGAGACTCCTAGGCTAACGTTAACATTACTTTTTTGCACTGTCATCGCTGTCATAGTATCCTGACACTGTCACCACTATAAAGAAGGGGTAGAGGAGGGGGATTATGGCCATTGTTTGTCTGACAAGTGATTGGAAATCATATTGAAAATGTAATTAACAATGGAGTGTCCTATCCCAATTGCATGAAATGGTACAGCGTATGTCTTTGTCTCTTTTTAGATCGTCAGGGTACAATCCCCAGATGGCATGAAGAAAATTGCTTCTAACAAGAGGGACACTGCTACTGCTTTTTTAAAGAAGGTACTGTATGCAAAACACAACCGTTTTCAAGTAATAATGGGTTGAACTGAAAAAATTTCACAATCCACTTTGCTTTCTTTTTGAAGCCACCAGTGTGTGCGAGGGTACAACAACACACCATACAGTCCACCTGTTTTCATCCTTTTTCTACAGTAATGCAGTCACCAACATGGGAATTGATATCACAAAGTAAACATGTGTTTCCCTAGGTTGTGCTTCTGCCTGCTCATTGTTCATTTATGTAAGAAGCTGTACAGAAAGTACCAGAGTAGGTCAGCCCTGCACTGCCTCTTTGTTCTAAGCTGGCTCTTAGAGCTGCATGATATGACGGAAATATCTGATTACTTACATTTTGCAAGAACATTATTTATTGCAGCTCTGCCTTTCTACCTTTTTCATTGCACTGCTTCAAAACAACTTATTACTTATACAATTATAAATTACTTTCAAAATGTTTTCATTCACCATATTTAACATTTAATTAAAAACAAAAGGCACCAATGAAACAATGAATGATAGTTACATTTTAAAGTGTATTTTTCTAATGGAACTCTCTTTAAACAAATTAAAAAAATCCCTGTGTGCAATATCACTGCTATTCACGATGTGTTCATTGTGAAAGTATCCCTATATAGCTATATTGTGCAACTCTACTGGTTTGCGCTATTAACACATGCCTTGCCAAGGAGATTTGTGTACAATTCAGCCGACTATCATGTTGTGATTACAACCCAGACACTTCAGAGAATAAAAAAACGTATTCAAAAGATAATTTGGCCCTGTAATGTGATGTAACAACTATCCCCTTCTTCATTTGGCTCCTCTGAGTTCTGTTCACACATAAGCGCTTACAAATAATTACTGCTTTAAATGCATTTGAGTTAATGGACTTAAAGAACCTAAAATAGAACAATTTTCCAACAGCAGACCATTCACAGTGAAGCATTGCAGCAGCACCTCATTAAAAATGTATGTCTCCGTGTTGAGGCAGGATGGTGTAGCCTGCAGATCAATGTGGGGAGATGGGCTCATTCCCTGCGGATGTGCAGCCTTTGATAGTTTGAATAGAAAACCATGGATCAGAGGTAGACAGTGCAGAGACCTGCAGGTTAGTATCTGGAGAGGAAATGAAAGGAGATCAAAGTGATGTTGTTTCTTATAGATTCTGACAGTATACAGTAATATCTGTTCTTTTTTTGTGGCTTGAGAGAAATCATGACTGCTGCTGTGACATGGACAACCCATTTATAATCGAGTTGTTGTTAAAACCCTTCCCTGTTTCCATTGGCCAATATCCCATTTTCTGAAACACAAATAGGCAAGCTTAAAGAGGACGTATTATGCTCATTTAGTGGGTGTGGGAGACAAACTCCCTCTAGAGAGAACTTTGGGATTGTAGCCTTTGCAGACCATTTACATGCACTAAATCTATATAACACACTACAGGAGAGAGAAAACCTAAAGAGCGTAATAGTTTCTCTCCAGTTAATCCAAAGGAAACCAGGATATTGTTTCATGGAAGCACCTTAGCCCAGTTATCGAGCACCGTTTACTTTCCGCACAGCTTCAGCCAGGTGACGTTACAGGTGTGTGTGTGTGTGTGTGTGTGTGTGTGTGTGTGTGTGTGTGTGTGTGTGTGTGTGTGTGTGTGTGTGTGTGTGTGTGTGTGTGTGTGTGTGTCAAACAAAAAGCTGATGGCGTGCTAAAGCGGTTACAACAACAATGAGATGTTATTATAAGCTCTCAGGGCTAACAGAGCGGTAAATACATTATCAATGAAGTGGACGTAAGTGTATAGCGTAGTGTTTAATATTTCATAGCGCTCTCTGGTCTGGCTTGTTTTTGTCAACAATAGAGCGCCTGTGCAAATAGAATGCAGTTATCAGTAACCTGGTTACTAAACTTTTCTTTGAGGAATGAATAACCTAATTTATTTATGCACATGTAAACATTATTATTCTTAATATAGGATCATAACCAGAATGATTGCTCATGTCCAATGCAGTCCATGGCTTTATCCTCAAAGATTTGGACTGTGTCTGCTTAGTTGTAGCATACCGACTTTGAAGATTAAAAAAAAATCTCTGTTAGATGGTTTGTGATGGTCTATTGGTTTAATTGTCTAGAGGTCAATGCAGCCGTCTGAAATATTCTTCTATAAGTGT